GATTTCCAGCCAAAGTTGAAAAGATATTCAACGGGCACTTGGCCAGATGAGCATACACGGTGACGCAAAGGCACTTCGTGGTTTTTCCTCAGAAAATCCATCTCACAATTGTCTGTGCGAAAGATGGCCATCAAGATTTCGTACAAGAGCTTTGAGGCCGCTATTCGAAGCTCTTCTTTCCGCTTGCTAGCGTGGCATTGATGGGAGATGGCCGCAAACAGCATTGATGTAGGCAAGGTTGCCTCTGGGAAATGTCCAACCGCTTCCTGGCCCTTTTTCTTGGTGCACAACGGGGTCAAAAGATCAGGAACTTCATGGTCATACCATATAGTCTGATGGCATTCTTTCCAGGCTTTCATGTTCTGCCCTTTCCATTTTCCTGAGATAACAAGTGGTGTTTGCACCGACATCCAGCACAGTACTGTTTGGGGCCAAAAAGTGAAGGCTAAAATGAAAAAACGTTTGCTGAGATCAAACAGGGTGACTGGCGCGTCTCTGCTTCTCTTTGGTGCCAAGCTCGGTTTCATCATCAGGGCTTCTCAACATTGCCCAAAATGATTGCACAGACCATTGGCACTGCCCCGAAGCAGCATCATGCGGTTGCCATCCGGTGAGATGCGCATTGCCAATCCTGAGAAGACCTGGGCCGTGCTCGGAAGACTACTGTGTATTGTTTCTTAAGGGTACGTCAGTTCAATTGAACCTCACTAAATACGCCGAAGGCACGTGGGGCGCCATAAGCTCCACCATCGGTCATCAGTGAATCAGGAACTCAAATGACAGCTATGTCTTGAGCAACTGGCGAATCCAAATTCGACGCGAGCGTCCCCCGCAAATCTGAAGAGTCGGGCTTAACAACTGGTTGGGGTCCATGCGGGGCCCATAACGCATGATTTCCACCTGTGGGGTGGCTCCCCCTTGGAGGGGCTCCTTTTACACATATGACAAGAGACCACATCCACCCACTGTCATAGTCTTCAAGTATTGGGCTGGCAGTTTTACTTTTCGGGCACTCCTACTGAGCCTCACGCTGGGGTCGGCTTTGCTGTCCCTCCGGCATTGCAGCCCTTGGTCCACGATTTTCGGCCACATTCCGGCCGTGTAGCGTCTCTTGTACTTAACACACGACCGCGTAAGCTCTCCCTCTTTTCCGTTTATGCTCCCTCCCAAGTTTCCGATCACGAGCTTGACCAAGTCCGCAAGCATTCATTTTGGTCGGATCTCCTGGACGCAGTCCCTCCAACTTCTCCGGGCAGCTACACCGTCCTCATGGGGGATTGGAATACCCGCCTGTATTCCAACCAAGTCAGAGGTGGTGACTACTACCTTGGTCGTCACTTCTTTAGTCTTCCCATTCCTGATGATCGTGTTGAGTACACAAATTTTGCTCATATGTTTGAGTTTCTCCTGGACCGCGAACACTGCATTGTTTCGTCCATGAAGCCACGCCAGCCTGCCACTCAGGTGACGTACCGAGAGATCAACTCTCCTCCCGATGCGGATCCTTGCCACCCAGACCCAGCGCATTTTGCAGTCCTCGATCATGTAGTGGCTCCCATCGAATGTCGTTTTCTTTTTCGTCGTATCTACTCTTCCCCTCAGGTCACACTCCCCTGGTTCCATCGACATTTTCTCCTCTCTGCCTCTCTTTGTTTCCCTGGTTTCGACTGTCCGCCCAAAAAAGCCTGCCCGCCTCTTCGCCTCATGGATTCCAATGCCACCAAGCTTGCTTACCATTCCTCAATCTGCCGGAAGCTTTCGGAGTTGTCAGGGGTCCCAGTACCCACTTTTGTGGAGCCGGCGCCTGGGTCCTTGATTATTTACACTGATGGCTCTTGCCCCGATCAAGGAAACGTTGGCTTTGATAATCCGGCCGGCTGGGGGGCGTATGTGGCTCTACCATGCGGAGCTTTTGTCGATCTTTTCGGACCCGTTGGTCTTGGCCTCCCGTTTGCCGTGGTTGGGTCAAACAATACTGCTGAAATCCAGGCTGTGATCGAGGCGCTTGATTATGCTCTCCGCACCTATCCCCCAGGTGTGTCTGTGGAACTACGTCTTGACTCTCAATACGTGTTGGATCTGCTGCTCGGCCTTTCCACCCCGTCCTGTCACCTTTCTCTGGTCTCCCTCCTTCAAGATGTGTTGTCGCTTGTCCAGCTGTCCTTCTCCGTTGCCCTGACTAAAGTCAGGGGTCATTCCTCTGAACCGGGAAACGACCGGGCCGATGCGAATGCCTTTAAGGGTGTCACGTCATGCAGTAATTTGGGCCGTTTTTGCTCCACTCCCCCTTTACCACTTCCACTTTCTGCACCTTCTCCTCTGGCAGACTGGTTTGCTGCCAAGTCTGTCTCCGAGCAATCCATCCTCCTTTCAGATGTGGTCAAGTCCGCTGCTGCTGTCTCCCTCCCGCTGCGCCCTCCTTTGGTCAAGCAGCCTTACCTCTCTTCTGATACCATCTCCCTTTTGACTAACCTCCCTCGTGACCCTGTAGAGCTTCGGGCGCATCGTCAGGTTATCCGTCGTCGTGCGAAGCAAGATCGTCGCAGCTGGACGTTGTCTCGTCTCACTGCAGATGATGGTGGTGGCCCGGCCGACCGCTGGCGTACAATTCGCCGACTCCGTTCCAGGTTTAGTCCGCGCATCTCTGCAGTTCTCCGCCCTGATGGAGTTCTTTCCTCAAAGTCGGAAAAGCCGGCAGTCCTGGCTGAGCATCTTCGCACCAATGTTTGGTGTGCCTCATCCTCGCCGCCCCCTGGCAACACTGTCCTGCATGATGTTGCCTTTCAATTTACCCCTTTCTCTTATGCGGATCTTCAGCGAGCCCTTGCCCGGCTCAAGTCAGGACGTGCTCCTGGCCCGGACAATATTCCTTCGGAGTGGTGGCGTTGTACTCCGCGGTGCTTTCGATTGCTAATTCTGCATCACTTTAATTCTGCTCTTCTGGGCGCGTGCGCGCCTGATGTCTGGAAGCTGGCCAGAGTTGCGATGATTTACAAAGGTGGCAATAAAGATAGTAAGCTGCCCTCTTCTTATCGTCCAATCTCTCTTGCCAATACAATTTATAAGATCTATTCATCTATGCTTCAGCATAAACTCGCTTCCTCTGTCGATTACTTGATTGGACCTCGGCAGTTTGGATTTCGCTCTGGCCGCTCTGCCAGTGAACCCCTTTTCATAATCCGTCGTCTCATTGAGCTGTTTGAGCGGCATACTGCCCCCCTATACATTTTGTTTCTTGATTGGGCTCAGGCCTTTGACTCTGTTGACCATGCTTATGTGGAGTCTGCTCTCTTCCGCATGTCCGTACCGGAACCTCTTGTCCGCGCCATTATGGTCCTTTATGATGATTGCACTTTTTTTGTTCAGGATGGCGACCACAGTTCTGACGTGTTCGTGCTCCAACGGGGTATCCGGCAGGGCTGTCCGTTGAGCCCTTACCTTTTCATCATTGTTCTTAGTGTCCTCATGCATGACTCCTCTGTGAGTTTCCACCGCCGTTTTTCATACACCCCTTGGACTTATTCCGCGGATAACCCGCTGACTGATCTTGAGTATGCTGATGATACTACTTTGATTTCTCGGTCTCTTGATACGATTCATCGGCTCCTTCACGTTCTCCAACACGAAGCTCTGAAGAGGGGTCTGCGCCTGTCTCCCTCGAAGTGTCAGCTACTTGGTATCAACACGGACAACCCTGTCTTCTTGTCAGCTACCGTTTCTACGGTTCGCGAGTGTCGCTGCGTTTTTTTTGCTTTGGAGATGATCCTCTCGGCACTCGTGTCGATCCAGTTGACACGTCCAAGTATTTGGGATCGCTTTTGTCCTCGAATGCTTCCTCTCAGGCTGACTCTCGACATCGTTATTGTCAGGCCTCCGCAGCATTTCGTTGTTTGTCCCCCTTTTTTCGTCACGCCTCCATCACTACCCCGCGCAAATTGCAGGTTTATTCCCAGATTGTTCTGGCCATTCTTCTTTATGGCCCCAGCTCACCCGGTTTAACTCCCTTCATTTCAAGGCTCTTAGGCAAATTCTAGGTGTTAAAAGCAGCTTTTTTCATCGCGTTCTCCAGCCTTCTGACGAGCTGTGCTCCAACGAACACTTGCTGCGCTTGGCCCACGAGCAGGCTCCCAGTTTGCGTGCCCCTACCCAGATTATTTCCCAAAAGCGTATTGAATACCTTGGTCATATTCTCCGACATGCGAACCAGTATGAGCACACAGTTTGTTTCTCATCCGCCCATGCTTACCGACAGATTGCCTCCCCTTACCGTCGCGGGGCTCCACGTGCTCACTGGCCTGAAGTTGCCATGACAGAGGCCTACCACCGATCTCTCCTTCGCAATGCTGGCTCCTTTCCTTCGCCTTACGATCTTGCCCATGATGCTTACCAGTGTGGGACCTTGTCCATGGTCAAACATTACAACGGACACTCTATGCCCGCTTGGTTTGATAATACTCGGATGTGGCGTTTACTCCACCCTCTTGCTCAGTCACGTTCCCAATGGAAACTGTTGTCTTTTCCGAATCGACGCAGATGATTTTTCCGGATATGACTTAACCTTAGGATGTTCTTGACGCGTGTTGGGATGTTGCTCCTCTTCAGGTTCACATCAACGTCCCGGGATCTTTGGGAGGATTGCACACAGCCGCACAAGACGCAAACACTGCAACGCCGCACAAATAGTCGAAAAGGTACAAACACACGACGATATTGTGGCAGCTTTCCAACTGCCAATTACCTTCTAGATGAAAACAAACAAAACAAGATGGCGCCTTCGCAACTGCAATCATGAGTCTAACACTGGCTCAACCATTGGTCACAACCTCTGTATTCCTGGACGTGTTTGGGTTATTCATGCCTTTTGGGACGAAGTCCCACCCGAAAGTGTCAGAGGCCTCAGTTTCCAAAGCCAGCATGGGGACCTCTGCCCCAAGGAAGCAACTGTTCAACCTAAAGTGACCTGCGCGGAGAGCGATCCCCCTGCAATGCATCCGGCACACTCCCCGCAGAGGATCTGAAGCTGGGCGTCTTTCCATAGGGTCCGGCCCTTCCTGGCGCGGCGTTGCCTGAAATGAATCGAACCCCTTTGGACGGGTGGAGGTGTTGTTTGTTTTTACCAGCCACGGCCTTTTACAATGCCTGGCTGACAGTTGAGGCCTCCCCTCATGTGCCTCTAAACAGGTTGGGGGGGGCGGAACTCTTCCCTCACTATAGGTTGGGGGCAACAGGTGGTATGCTCCGCCAGCCTGGTTGGCCAGGCTGGGGCTCGGGTTGGTTGGCTGCACGTCACCGGCCTCGCTCGGACCTAGGGCTGCCTACTGGCGTTGATTTGGTCGCAGCTGAGAGTTGACACAAGCTAAATGTTGACACAAGCGCAATGTTGACACAAGCTAGCATGGCAAACAGAAGAACAACAAAGCCTCCAAAGCAAGAGCCGAATCAAGTCCCGTTCATTCGCAACCCCTGCAACGGTTGTCATCCCGCTGGGATGACCAGCTGACATGCTTTGCTTGTCAGGGAATCATCATTCCAGGGTTTCTTGGGTGGTGCAGGAATTGGTCATCCACAGTATTTTGCATTCAATTCACTAATGCCGCTAAGCACATCACAGTCAGTAGTCCCTTCCCGTACTATTGAATTCCCCCCTCAATGATAGATGTTTGTGCTTGCGAAAACTGTTGGGTACAGCATTGGGTCAATTAGAAATGAGGAATGTATTCATGGGCGAGCGGCTTACATCTCTTTTCCGCCTCACCCGCCACCCACCCTGAGCCTTGGCAGCGCAACGTTGAGCTCCGTAATCGTGGCAGCCACCGCGTCGCCGGGACTCTGAGCAAAGTCGAGTTTTGACGAAACATGGCAATGGCCATAGAAGCGCCTCCAGCAAAAAAACGGAGCCTGCTCAAGCCCAGGTCTGTTTCAACCAGTTCATGCTGTCACACATGCAGAGTCAACGCACGCCAAACTCAATCCTCTCTCGGACGAAACAACCTGATCCCAGATCAGACATGGACGGCCTTGCCTCATCATACTGTGCCATCCCTGAAAACTTCCCAACAGATCCCGACGAGTGGTTCTTTCTTTTCTTTCAGACCTCGTCCTGCACGTGCTTTATCTACGAACCGGTGGCCTCGATTGCACAAACCTAAAAAAACCCGTGGCGCCATCGCCGTGACATCGGCCCCATCGATCGCATCCGCCTGCATTCGCTTGACCTCGCTGCAGGAGTCTTGCGCTTCAAGCGCCTGCGCGGAGCGAAGGGGAGCGGCGACGGTCTCGAGGCTGTGCCATGGGCCAAACCCCAAGGGGCCAATGGGCCGACGAGTCATGTCTCAAGCGCGGGAGTTGGGTCAAAATGAACCAGGATATGGACAATTCCAGGTTTCAAGGGACCGGAAAAGAAGGCAGAACTCCGGAAGAGGATTTGCCTCAGAGCTTGATATGAAAAGGAAATGGATCCCAAACTTCAACCCATTCGCAAGGTGGATCTGGGTCAAAATTAAACCGCCAGGAAATGGACTGGACAAAAGCAGGTTCTAGTCTTTGGTTCCATTTAAAACAGGGCAAGCCATTTTGGGGGCTAACCTATTTTTGACCCACAGCCATATGTTGCTCCGCACGCATCCACAGTGATACATGTCCAGGTAGCCAACAGCAACTGGCAAGATCAGCTCCTCAAATCCATCTAAACGCTGGAGGAAAGACCCAAGAGCCGGCCACTTGGCGGCTCTTTCGAGCCCCAATCACGCCTCTTTGGCCCTTTGGCATCCTCTCTCTGCCCAAAGGACTTGGATTCTCGGGTGTTCCTTCCATCGTCGAGGCCCGGGCTTCCCTAAAGAAAGACAGGCCCAACTACCACGTCAAAGGTTTCGCGACATCCGCTCACCGGGGGCCGCCTGGCCTGCACAAAGTTGGAAAGTCGATCGACTGTTGCGCGATATCCTGATATCCGAACGGCCGAAAAGTGCGCGCGCGAAAGACGCGGCCGAACATGAGGGGGGGAACGAAAAAAAGTTCAGCCAGGCGCGGTTTGCAACTCTTGAGGGTGAGGGTGCCTTTAGACACTACGTGTAGTGACTTGAAGACCACTTTCCCAACAGAGGCGGTTCCACCAACCTTGCTGGAGGACTCCTTTTTGCAGACTGAGAAAACAGTTTGGACGCGCTGGTGTGGACTGTTTTCCTGTTCTTCCCGCTGTAGGTCCTTGTTTAGTACTCTTTTGGCACTCTTTTGATATCCTGGGGTGGATCCACAAAAGCCACATCCAAACCGATTTCTAGAATGTTGCAAGGCTCCTGTGAGGATGCTGTAGCTGCCCAGGAACCAGTCAAAGCCGCCCTTGACTGTGGCGAGCCTCACGTGCAAAAGCTTCTTGGTTTTCAATGCAAAAGAACAAACAACACTATCTTTACTTGGCGAACTCCCAAAAAATGTTTTTTTTTGCTTTTTTTCTTTTGGGTTTCCCTTTAGCAACGCCAAAAAAGGGCACCAACTCCAAAAACACACACCTAGATGGCACTATCCCCTTTCATGTCCAGGGGGTGTTGAAAGAAGGTTGAGCAACATCTACTTCGACCCAACTCTTCAAACTGCTACAATCTGGTGTGGGAAAGCTGGTAACTGGTTGCAGGCTGAACCCCAGGAGAGGGGCTGAGCCAAAACGAACCATGTGGCGACACGTTAACACATATGAGTCACTTGCTCAAAACCCGGTACACAAATGGTCGTAATCCCAGAACCATGCTTCAAGAACTAAGAAGGCGGATATCCACAGCTATTTGTGGCTGGTCCCGTACTAAACTTCACTTACCCGGGTTTTGAGCAAGTGGCTCATATGAGAAACAATCGGAGTGGATCAAGAAGCCACTGCGTTGGTCTCAAGTCTGGCGGGCCTCGAGCAAGTTCCTAAGGGTACCGGTGCACTAACAGCCCATTCTGGTTCTGGCATATTGCTTAACGAAGCATGTGCAAAGCAGCCCAGGAAATCCAGCACATTGACATGGCTTGCCAAAGAAGGCAAGCCAAACTCATGTAGATGGCGCTAGGATTCGGGAGCCGTTGCACCGAAGCGCTCACGCAACTTTTCAGCATGTGGTACTGGCAGAGAGGCCAAACCCAATTCCCAAGCCGAGGAATCGAATCGAAAACCGGTCCCGAAGGCTTGGAACTGTGCTTGGGAAGGGGGAGATGAATGGGCAGTGGGTCTGGACATCAACCAAGTATCAACCTCGTAACGTGTCCTTTAGGGGAAATTTACTATCGGCTATTTAACACCCAAACTATACAAAAAGCAAGAAGCAAAGAAGTGAAGACAAAGGCAGTGTGCCTCGACAAACAAATGCAGCCGCTCTCTATTGCACGCACAACTCATCACTTGTACTAAATGCATTAATATCAACTGGAACTGCAGGGACCTTAAACCGCAAATAAACATCACAAGGAGCTATTGTCACACTGCCCACTTGTTGCCTTGCCTCTGCTCGATAGCGCGCTAATTCTGAATGTTAAGAAGCAGCTGGCTCTGAACTCGCAGCTCGCTGGAAGGAAGATTGCTCCGCGCATCGGACTTTTTTGTAAATTCGAGACCGGCCTGCAATCTTGAGCCTGCTGTCGTGAATTCCAAGTTCTTCACACACACACACGCACGCGTATTTTTGCCCAAGTCTGGCAGCAGACTAAATTCTTGCCCAAGTCTAGTGTCTTTTGCCGGCATGTGCTCTGAAAGCTACTTACTAGCAAGCCCTGCGCAATATGAGGCCAACTTCTTGGCGAGGAGATTGAAATTGTGACTCCTTCCCTCGTGATGCCTATAAAAAAAAAACCTGACTGATGTATGTTACGCACTTGAGGCCCTGGCGCATCAAACAGCATGAACAAGGTGCCCAGGGTGATCTGACCTGCCCGTCGGATTGACCAGCATGGCGTCGTCCCGTTTCATTTTTCCCCCATGCGAGATGCCGAGTTTCGGCGGACATTCCATGATCTGGGTGCTCAGCAATGTTGCCAGGGTAGGGGAATCTCCCTATCAAAACGCTTGTGTGCCCTCTTTTGTTCCAGGGAGTCAACTGCAAGCAACAGTCGCAGCATTGAGTCGCTGGGCATTTCTTGGCTGGCGGTGTTCTAAGAACCTGTTTAAAACCAGGGGCCTTCCACCATCAAGCCCATCGCATCGGATGCAGGTCGCTCTGCCTTTGAAGTAGCTCGGGGCGAGCAGCAGGTAAGGGAAGATGGCAGAGGTCTGGTAGTAAAACGACCTCAGCTGCCAATGTCCGTGTCCGAACCCCTCAAATATGTTTGGAGTCAGTGTCATCTGGCCTGCCGGTTTTCAGATCCCCTGCTAAAAGTCACCAACTTTTGGTGTATTTGTTGGACACTACCGCTGAACCCTAAAAACCTAAAAAGCTAAGGGGATGGCTGGGAACGACCAAGTCATGAACACACAAGGACGAGTTGAGGAGTCTTCGTCCAGGTGTGCTCGCTTACAGCATAGACATGGATGCTCAGGAAGATCCTGGCGGGTTGCGGTAACCGGATCTGGCCAAGCAGTGCATGAATACTCATACATTGACCGTAGCCCTCACACAGTGCAGCAATCAACCTGAATTGAAAGCTCAACGAGCAGTTAACATCAAGAGGCTCAGGGCATTGAGACTATTCCTAACATCAAACTAACAAAATGAAAACAACAACATGGATCCTCAAGTATGTGTCAACATGGGACGACATGGTCTCTTGGTTTCACCTTTTGAACGGTCGCCCAAGTCAGCTCAGCCCCGGTCCCGGGCTTCAGTGAATTCCAAGGCTCCAGCTGAAAGAAACTCAGGCGCTTTGTGTGGCTCATCAGCATCCACCACCTGAGTCACGAACGCGTTCGGTATGGCTGTGGGTCAAAAATTGGTACCCAAAATGGAACCCTGATGGTAAATGGAAACATGGACTAAAATCTGCGGTCCGATCCCTGGTGGTTTATTTTGGACCCACAGCCGTATCACAATGCTAATCTCAGAACCACGTAAGGAACTAAAATTCGAAGGCACCCAGTTCAACGGATACAATTCGACTGTAGCCTTCATGAAGGCTCACCGGTTTCTCAAAAAAACGGGAATCGGTCCTGGTGGAAATGATAATGGTTTTTCAAAAACGACAAAAAATCCAACCCGACGGGCTCCAGAACTTTATAAAAACACCCTGAACAATTGCAAGCGGACGGGAAAAAAAACGGCGTTCTTTTGCAAACCGGAATGGACCCCAAAGACCCAAACTGCCGGGATTGGGGTTCCCAAATTTGGTTTATTATTAAACACCAGCCCCCAAAACGGGTGCCCCTCAACAAAACGACTTACCCAATTTGGAGTCTCGGTGATGGGATCACCACCCCTGTCTGAATAACCATGAACAAATGCCATGGAGACTCCAAGTACTTGAATTTGGGTCGTCCCCCTTCTCGTCCTCCTCCGAAACCCGAAACACCGATAAACAAACTCCCTCCTAAACTCAAAATCACCTATCCGCCGCGATCCGGCAACATGCCTACACTCCTAAGCTGGAAAGGAAGCCTCAAAACTGTCTAGACAAAGCAAGCCCCAGGGCCCCCGGCACACGCACGATCCACTCGAAGCGGCCGTTCAGCCGACTTTCCTCAGTTGCCTCTGAGTTGTAGAGAGCGATGGACTCGGCATGGTCACCTCGGAGTACGCTCAAAAGGCCACGCGCAACAGGGCGTCTCAAAATAGCGGAGCCGTGGGACCCCCCAAAATGAGCGGCTTTGCCTTTGGTGGTCCCTTTGGTCTTCCTTGAAACCAGCCTGAAAAGGGTTCCCTCTAAAAGCATGGCTTCTCAGCGGGAGACAAGAGTTTGCGGAATCGCCATTCATCTTTTCCAAAGCCTTTTATGGCATTCACAAATTGGACGATTGCGCAGGAAATGACTGCCACTTGCCCTCTCAGAGGGATGCATCAGGAAAGCAGAGCTTCAGCGCAGCTCTTGGACTCCTCGCTGTAGTGCTGCATCATTCTCGTGAGCTCCTCCCGCAGCGTCCTGCTGCGATTGCGGTCCGTAAACCACTCCAAAACCGTCTGCTGGCCGAACTCGTCGACAAAAAACTGGAGGATGCCCGTGTGCCCCTTGTGCCATAACGATCTGGCCGCGTATTCGCAGTATCCCTCCACCACAAACCAGCCAGTGTAGCCAAGCGCCTTTGCGTAGTGATACGGCTCGACCCAGTCCACCATGGCGGCGTTAGTCAACAACAGGTTGCACGGGCTGCCAATGGTTGGCTCCTTCTCCTTTCGAGAATCGTCAAAGAAGAGGTCCTGGAGCCCCATCTCCATGTAGAACTTCAGCGTGTCCAGCCCGCTGCCATCGGGCGCGTCGCGTAGCTCTTTGATTGAGGACGCGTGCGTAGGGCCGTAGAGCAGGGAGCGAGTACCGCCCCCTGTGTGTGCATATGGTGCCACCGTACGTCTCCAATCGGTGAACTTCATCTTCTCCTTCGCGCACTGAAGTAACGCAACTTTGTTGTGCTGACCAGCGGTGTCGACGAACGACCACAACGGGCTCCGATCCATGCCCGGATGAACCGTGTTACAGCGTTCATACGAGACGTCGAACCGCGCGCAAAAGAGTTCCGCCAGCTCCAAGCTTCCCATTTCCATGACGTAGTAGGCCAGCGTCCAGTCGTTCTCCACTGCCCCCTCAAATGGATCACCCCAAAGAGCAAGGCATCCCTCCAGGCAGGGCGCCATGCGTCCGTCGTCCCCGCTGGCTGCAGCGCTCTTCAAGTTGTCCACGAGCATCATACGGGGGGTGGCTGTGTGCGGTTTGTCGGGGTTGTAGGGCACGTCATAGCTCCAAGTGCCAAAGGCGTTTAGGATCGAGTGCTGCGGCTTTTCTGGCAGCGCGGCTTCTCTCACTTCCTCGGCGCGCAGCCACTGGAGGATCTTCACGCAGTTCCCGTCGGCCGCGTGGTGAGAGAGACATTTTCCCCCGTACTCATCCATGTCTCCGAGCGCCCACGGCACACGTCCGTGGCGGTGCAGCAGCTCAAGCGGACGAACGTCGTCGGCCGGTAGCACTTCCTTGCGCACGAAGTCGAACACCTCCTTCTTGGACACGGGCTCGACGTCGACAAAGCTTTGTGCGCGTTCCATAGCTTACCGAATGATTTTGCAAAGTTGAACCTGCGGCGCTGCAGCACGGAAAGAAACGAGGAAACAGCGCGGTCGATGCAGAATCAACCATCAAGCATTGAACTTCGAAAATGCATTGGTGCTTTGGATTGGTGTTTTGGTGGTCTTCTGGAGTGGTTTCCCATCTACCCAAGGACCAGGTTTCAAATCCGAATCCAAACCAAGAATCCAAGCCACCAATGAGGGGTTACCTGAGACTGTGCAAGTGGAGTTGGTCTAGATGCCACCGGCCGCTCAATCCCAAATCCAGCACTGCTACGGCCCCAGGTGTGCCGCCGAGTGTGGTTGGTGATGGCAAACCCAACTCACACCATGTGATCAGTGAAGAACAGCGCAACATGAAGGCTAAAGCTGCAAAACACACAACTTGCAGAGCTGTTTCCGCTTTGGCCCGCATACCCAAATGGCTTGCAGTGAAATGTTCCTGTGGCAAACGGGGCACTTTAATTACACCCCAATGGAAGCCATCTTCAATTCAGTAGGCCGAGCAACATGTCGAAAAGACATCTAAGCCGAGTGCGACGGGTGGATGGTTGCACATTTTGCGCTCAACACTTGGTGCCCGTGCGAATTTGCACCACATCATACCGAAAGCTGGCCTGCAGAGATGCTGCACTCTTACATGGGCTAAGGTTTGGATTGGCGAATACAATCCACTCGGGGGTTCCCCGCGCGAGCCCACTCTCAACAGGACCCTTTTCAGAACTCAAGATTGAGGATTGCCGTTGAGATGAGCTGACCGGGCCAAATCGCAGCCCCTTGAAGCCTGGAAGTCCTAGAATTGATCCCATGCGAATGCAAAGCGCTGCTACCTTCACAGCGCCTCGTGCTTTTGCAAGCCGAAGTTCACGACAATCAGCTTCTTCCCCACCTGACAAGCACCCGGAGGAATGTGCTGTGTGTCACCCACCATGAGCTATCTGCCTGCAATGTTTGTAGCACAACATATCTGTGGTGCAAGGAGAGCAAGTTTTGTACGTCTAGATTTGGTGAGTATACTAGCACGAGCAAGTTGAATATGATGAGCATGAATCGCATCATCGCGTATGTTGGTGTGAGTGTGTAGTGTCTTGTTGCGATAATCAATGCAAACCTTCAATAAACAGCTCCAATGTAGCCCACTAATGTCATTGAAATGTTCATCTCCGATACATGGGTGCACCGTCGCAAAACGATTCATGTGCATTCTGTGTCATGAGGCAATGCAGCAACATAGTGTATACGCTACGTCCTTGAGATAACTTGACACGAGCTGTCCAGCGACATTCCAGCGACAAGCCTTGGAATGATTCTGTGTGTGTGACTGAGGAATTGAAAGGACTTGCAATCTTGATACGACGTACTGCTGAATGGCCTTGGCAAGAAGTGCCACTATCAAAAAGCAAGAAGGACACTAGGAATCTCGTTGTTTGTTGCTTCATTCATGAGCGCCTGCATCGCGTTGCAAAGGCTTTGTCACTATGCTGATTGACGGCCGGACCGCAAAAGGCTTCTCCAAGCAAGCTAGAGACGCTTGCAGGTACGAAGCCCCCATGTGTCCCTGGCCTGGTGGGCGCAAATGGCGCCCACGCCCGAGTAGAGCAGGGAGGCATACAACAGCCACCCCGGGCAATAGAACCTGAAGGCGGAGGGCTCTGGACTTGAACCTCCGCCATTGTTTGAGACCGTCCCACTGTTGGAACAGCTAACAAACACGAGTGCATGATCTAAGCCTGGTCCAGCAGGCCATGATGGCAAGCAACCCAGCAACCCAAGCGTCCCATATGATTTTTCAGTAGAGAGGAACCAACTTTCCATGCTGCGCCATGCTCAATCTGGCGAAATACTCCTTATCTTCTTGCTCATCTGTGAAATTCACAACCCACAAATATGCTCGGCGCATGAACACTGCGAGGGAATGGTTGAAAAAGGCCTTGCAAACTGCCATTTGCTTAAGCCCCCGGGAAAAAATACAAATAACTATTTCAAGTCGTGATAGATTCCCTTTAAAACCAAGGGGGAAAAAACTTAAGCAAATAGACGCAAACAACTCCAAACCGAACTGGGTGAATTGCTCCCCACACTCAGCCATGCGATGCTGCATCTCTCCAAACATATCCCTCGCCACATCGCTGAGAGCTCCTACATCTCGTGTTTGAAAGTCAGCTCAGAAGGTGTTTTCTCTTTTTTCTTGTTTGTCCTTCTTTTTTTTTCGAGGCTCGGTACCCCCTTTCTGGGGTGGTGTGAAAGAGAAACACAGCGGAAAAATACCATTTGGGGAGTCTAACCTCCCCCAAAAAAGAGGGTACCCCCTTTTGGGGATGGTTCTAAAGAGAAGCCAACCGAAAATAAAGAAACAAAAAAACAAAACAAAAAACGCGGCGTCAATTTGGGTGGTCCAATTCCTCAAAAAGACGACCCAAGCAGCGCCAACTGCCGTTTCTCCCGGGCCCGTGGCTGACCAAAGGCATAGGTCGGAGAGAGAAGCAGCAGCATTGGCCTTCGGATCTGAGTGGGTACTAACCATACTGTGGATGGTTGCGAAATCCATTTCGCACCACCTAAGAAACCCTGGTTTCTGATGATTCCCCTGTAAATACCAACCAACAGTGGTTTCCCATGATTTTAAAGTGGTGCAGGATTTCGTCCATCCACAGTAGGTTGTTTGGTCCCACAGCCATGCCTACATCATCTCTTCAAATTGGCCTTCGGATCTTCCTTTTCATGATTCCAGATAGACATTGTATTGTACATATACATGGGGGGAACAAGAAAGACATACTTGGAGCACTGTACTTAACAAACATGTTTTGTTGGTCCCACTGAAGCCATGGTTATACATACTTAAAGGGGCATTGTACTTCTGTGGCGAGTAACCTCATGGATTTTGTCCCACTGAAGCCATGGCTACTAGTCTCCGTTCAGGGGGTTATAACCAGAGTTGCTAATCACCTACTAAGTACGTACCCTGCTCCTTTAAGTACTCAATGTCTTCAAATTATCAGAATCTTCATTCATGATTCCATGTATAGACATTGTATTGCACATGGGACAAAACATGTAGGGGAGGTGAATGCTAGAAGCATGTGCTAGCGTTGTTGCCCCGCAGGTTAGCAAATCTGCTGTTGAAAGTCAGGTGCAAGAGAGCTGGACAAGTTGATTGATACCATGCAGCGATAAAACTACTTCAAGCCCAATGAGAAAGCTGCGGCGTCTGCTTGGAACATGGGCAGTGACTCGGCTGCATGCTCCGCAGCTACGACACCTCACCCAAAAGCACAGGCGTCAATGTGCCTCTAAACATCGCGGTCGCGAGAGTCAACCTGCCCCAACAGTTGTGAATAAGGCTCTTGGGCTGGCGTGTAGCTGATTTGTCAGTGTGTTGCTCCATCTGTGACACGCGTCTGCGACGAAACCGATATGTCAAAGGCATGTGAAGGCTAGGCCACTCAGTGAAGTCCAAGCTTTGGATGGCTGAATGCGGGAATCTATGCCACCCACCACTACCGAGCAGGCAACCACACTACTCACCCCATTCACTGGCCCCAGTTTGCGGAAGCCAACATTGACCCCCTATATTTAATGCACGCGTCAAGTCGGGGTTGGGCCACTTATCTGGGTGTGGCTCAAAATTAAACGATCGGAGGGGCAAACCGCAGGCTTTGGTCCATGTTTCCACTTACCAGGGTAACCCATTTTGGAATTCCGGTTGTTTGAGACACAGCCATCTGTGAAACATAGTCCAACACATGTTGTCGAGCCTGCCTTAGTTTCATAACCTTGAAACCCTTGAGGGGACCATGACCCAGTCGTCTGAACTGCCCAAAACCACGATGAAACCCAGAAGCCGACCGCCAGAAAGGAATCACAACCCCAACACATACAAAAAGGGAACCCACGCCAATCCAACCACGTGTCCAAACAGATAGATCGAACGCCAAGCCCAACCTGACTCTTGCACGCTCAGATAAGAACAAATAACTAAAACAAAGGAGACCGCCTTTCGGTTCGGTTCGGTTGCCATGGAAACCAAGCGGAAACTCACCATCTCTAGGGGGGTCCGGGTCAAATTTGAAAATACTTTTGGTTTCCCATAAAAAGGCAAGACGCAGCAAGACAAATTAATGGGACACTCACTCACTCCACGAGTGGATGGCCCCCCAAAAAGTACCCAAACTGTGTGTTTACCACCACATGGCAAACACACCCGAAAATAAAACTCAAGTCCGAGTTCCGGAACTCGAAAATTTGGGCCCAAGTTGGAACGCCCCATTTGTGTTTTTGCGTCGGACACTTTTTCGGGCATGAAACGATTACCTAGAGTCTCCTTCTGACCCTTTCAAAAATCCTTGGTCATTACCCTAAATAATTGGGTATTACCCAAAATAATGGGGTCAGTACCCTAAATCATGGGGTCATTACCCTAAATAATGGGGTCATGGACCTACCTTAGGGAGACTCCCGGCCGAATCTCCCGGCTCTCTTGGCCCCCGGACAGGCGCGAGATCAGGTGCGCCACCGCCATGACAAGCCCAGTGCCCAGCATCATTGACTGCCTCACCGGCAGATGCTTCGTAGTCTTTGCTTCGCCTTGTTGCCTCCGTTTGTTTCTTTGCCCCCTGAAAAGATGAGAATATATGTCCAGTGAAATCGCGTCCAAAGGGGAAAGGAAACAACTAATAAAATCCATCGTTTCACCGATTCAGCCGGAAGTTTACGGTTGAACTCTGCCCAGTGGATTTCCAGAGAAGAAGAAAAGGGCATCCGTTTTTTGGGGTTGGTTGGGTTTAAAGGGAACCCTTCCCCCCCAAAAAAGTTGAAAGAATTGGCACCACCGGGTCCCCTGGGTTTATCTCTTCGGGGCCATGGCGCGCCGAAGGGTCACTTGATCTCAACACCCATCGCTATGGCTGAACTCCCTGAGCCCTAAAATACGGCGGCCTTCCTCCACCCGGAAAACTGATTGTGGCTCACCTGATCGAGTTGGCGATCAAAACCTTAGCCACCTGATTGAGTTGGTTCATATCAAAACCTTAGCCACCTGATTGAGTTGGTTCATATCAAAACCTTAGCCCGCTTGAGTTCCCTCAATCCAGCAACCAAAGGCTCACAGGCCCTCGAGAGCGGATGTGATTCATCGCTGTTTTACTTGATCGCCGAACATGTGCTTGTTCTTGATACAATGCAAACAAACTGTGACTCCATCTTGAGTTCACGGCTTGCTGACTCAATGCAAACACATCGTCAAAAAAACAAACAAACAAAAAACAACGTGTGTGACGACATCAAATCCAAAGCCATTGTTCATGAAATGCGTTACTCAAATACCAGTTGGCGCGAACTTGCTTTTGTCAGCTCGCGGCAGTCAAGGCAACGCGAGATAATCCGTGTTGGTAAGTAACACTACGTATATGATCATGGTGATTTGGTGAGCGTTCGATTGTACTCTATATACCGTACGTATATACATGACGTGACCACTGCTCTTGCTCACGCGAGTCTCTACTAAGTCCCCACTCTACTGAAAGCTTTCCCTATTCACGTCTATAAACGGAAGCTTCATGCATTCAACCCATGTGGGCCTCTACTGTGGCCGCAGCTTGCATCCTTCCCACTTGCCACAACCAAAGAAACGGAAGCATGAGGTCTCCTCTTAACAACGGTTGTTGGCTTGCTCCAAAATCTTGCCAACAGCGAAACGCAACCTGATTCGCTTGATCGTTCAAGCATGCGCCGCCACAAATGATCAACGAGTCAGTCAGTCAGTCCGTCCGTCAGTCAGTCAGTCAGTGAGCCAATATCAGCCAATTAGCCAGCCAGCCAGCCAGCCAGTCAGCTATTTAATCGGTCAATCAGTCAATCAGCCAATCAGTCAGTCAATCAGTCAATTAGTCTGACAATCAAAAAAACAATCCATCCAATCCAACCCAAGTGCTTCTCAGGCTGAGGCTCTACGAACATGCGCACGTCCTCTTGGATGCGCTGGTCCGGGTTGTCAGGAGCCTGGGCCATAAGGGCAAAGCGAATCAAACATACGGGTATGTATTTGTATTTCTGGCGTCTCTTATTGGGATGGTTTTAAAAGGAAACCAAAACAACAGCCACCTTCTCTTGTTTTTTTTTTTGGGGGGGGGAGTCCCAAATAAAACACACCCAAATCAATCCGCCGTTATCTAATTGCAGTGGAATTGAAACTCTCTTCATACTTTACTCAGGTGTCCTCAGTGACCTCAGTCTTGAAACATGGATCACCGCCCTTCCTCCGTGGGCGTTTCGCCGCGCCGTCTTTGGCAAAATGACATGGCCAAATCTGCGGTCATTACCCAAAAGGGAACGGCGTCTTCGAATGGATGCTGTTGGGCTGAGTGAATGTTGACAAAACAAATCCTGGGCCTAACCTTCAACATCGCATTGAATCACATGCGCCATATGGGTGTGTCTTTTTTTGAGGGTCCGCCTTTTTTGGTGGTTTTAACGGCAAACCAAAAAAGTGCAGCCACCATGCTGGGGGGGTCCCGTCAAAAAGACACATACGGTGATCCACCTCACACCGGGCGCGCCGGCGTCTGCTTTCAGCTGCTGCCGGTAGAAGGACTTATCCTGGCCAGGCGCGCTTGGATCCTGTGGAAAGCAAAGCGACTTCTACAAGTGTGCGCGAAACAGGGGTTCAAGGGTAAACCCTGCTCTTAAGTTTTGAAGGCTTGACCCTCTGGAACTTGGAAGTAAACTTGCGATCGGTGCCATAGGAAGGGAGTGAGAATTGGAATGACCCTTAGAAGCCATCCGACTGGTGGCCAAATGAGTCATACTCAAACCCTGGTATTGAGATGGCCGGGACCCAGAATCATGTTTCGGGAACTAAATAGGCGGCGATGGCACCCGTTTATACCAAGCTGGGATTCTCCCGTACTATCCAGGTTTCTTCAAGGGCACCCGTGGCTTTCCCTTTCTCATTCCCGTGGCTTATCGCACCGATCGCAAGTCAGTAACGCAACTTCCGCAGGTCTCCGAGCTTCCCATCGCAGAATCACCCAGATTGTGGTGTCTCAAGATCAGGGGACCCACTGATTTTTGTTGCTTTCCTTTTCAAAGCCGGCCAAGAAGGGGCCTAGCCGATTAGTGTATACACGAGCCGCGCATGCCGGGACGACCAATTTGTCACGACCAACACAGGACGCCTGCAGCCAGAGGCCGATCAGCCACTGGGTCATAGAGCGACGCCAGTGAATGGACAGCATCATGCCTGGGTCTCAGAACATCGAGCCATGTAGAGGCAACCCCGTTTCGGGGTTGGTGAGGGATACCCACCGCAATGCGGGGGTCTTGAACCAAAAGGAAACCGCATTCTTGGGGTTCCCCTATTTGTCAGCAGGGCTTTGGGAATGCAATGTAGATCCTGGGACTGCAACAACAAAAAAAGGAGAGGCTGGGAGCTATGGCTTGGAGCGATAGGCACCAGTTCTTTCAGTTCCCATCTAGTATACGGATATCCAGGATGGCCTGCGCTTTCTGCGCGCAACCCCCTTTCCAAGAGAGGGACTAAGTGCAAGCAGCCAAGGAGGTGCCTGCCGCAAAACATATACAAGAACTGACGCCTAATTCGATGGTAATGGTCGCGTATGATACCAAGACTGGTTGTGACGTTCAATGTGAAAACCCTTTTCAAACTTCAAAACAAAGCGCAGTCCTTCAGAAACCATGAAGTTGAAATTCGGGGTTCATGTTCGCTCTGGCGTGACCACAGCAGAGCACTCAATGAAAAAGAGATAGACAGGGCATGGCCTCACCACAAAGTAATTCCAGAAGTGAAAACAGGCGATGCAAGGGAGAGGGAATGAGTTAGGCTAGACGAAGGAACGGCCCGTCTCTTCCTTGTCCTTCCTGTTCCCTTCATTCACATTGAGGACACTCGTCTAGACGGAGGAGAGACAGGTCCGAACGAAGAATGGGCTCGCTTCCCTCCCTCCCTCCCTCCCTCCCTCCCTCCCTCCCTCCCTCTCACTCACTCACTCACTCACTCACTCACTCACTCACTCACTCACTCACTCACTCACTCACTCACTCACTCACTCACTCACTCACTCACTCACTCACTCACTCACTCACTCACTCACTCCATCACCAACCCATCCACTCTCTCCCGACGGCGGAGAGGCTTAGATGGGAAATAGGTGGTGAGTGAGAGTGAGAAAGTGATAGAGAGGGAATGGAATGGCTTGGCAGCTGACATCAAAATCCTTTAATTGCCGCCCTATCTCCCATTCCTTACCCTCTCCCATCCATCTCTAGACCAGCCGGACAAGGAATAGATAGACTGGTGATGGAATGCCACTTTCTCTCACACCTAACCACCATTCCAGACAAGACAGACAAGGAATGGGTGGTGTGTGAGTGAGGTGTGGTAATCTCTTCCCTTTCCTTTCATTCATTCATTCACCTCAAGGAAATGCGAGATGAAGTAGCATGAGTTGGGAGAAGGAATGGCCTCGTCTCTCCGCTTCTTTCATGCTCTCGTTCCCACTCTCTTCGCTCGTTACCTCTCCAACATTGAAGCTCTGAGACTCTGGAAAGAAGGGACAGTTGTACTAGGTCCAGGAGAAGTGCCGAATCTTTCTAGGCGCCGAAGGTTGCACTTTTAAGAACCAAGGGAAATGTCTTTCACCTGCAGCATAGAATGGTGGTCGGGTGAAAGGGATGATCGCTTCCTTGTCACTCATGCCTTTTCCCTGCTATCGCGAGTTAATCGATGAGAAGCCGGCTTGCTTTGTATTCATGGACAAAACCTGTGTACATTGCAGGCACTATATGGCCTATCTGTTCACATCTTGACTCAGGTTTCTGTCATGATATGTTGCCAGAGTAGGATCTCAACTGCCAACCATCAGCCCCTTCCCTTCCTTCCTATCATGAACTCGTTCTGAGGGGGGGCAAGGGGAGTGACTGCAATGCTTAGGGAAGGTAAAGGAGGCTAAAGGAATTTAAAGGAAGCTAAGGGAGGCTAAAGGAAGCCAAAGGAAGCTAAAGGAGGCTAAAGGAGACTAAAGGAGGCTAAAGGAGGCTAAAGGAGGCTAAAGGAAGGAAACAAGCTTGGGGAAGGTAAAGTAAGCTAAAGGAGGTTAAAGGAAGTTAACGGAAGCTAAAGGAAGCTAAAGGAAGTTAAAGGAAGCTAACGGTAGATAAAGGCTGCTAAAGGAGGATAAAGGAGGTTAAATGGTTTGCAGTAACCCCCCTTGCCCCCCCCTCAGAACGAGTCCATGATGGGCAATTATTGGAATGAGTGGGATGGTGGGCTTGCGCATCGATGGTTTCGAACGCCAAACGGTCCAAGCCACCGATGTACTCGCTGTATGTGGAGAGGACGATGCGCGCAAAGGCCAGGAACATGACATCCAGCAACAACCTGGCACAAAGCTTGCGGGTTTCCGAGACTGCCCCAAAACATGATCTTGCCTTTTGATTTCCCTAACTTCAACATTCAAAGTAAGAACCCCAAACAACACAGTGAACAAGTGCAAATGGGTGTGTCCTTTGATCAGGGAGCCCCCAAAATGGTGTCTCCTGTTGGTTTCCCTTTCAAACCACTAAAGTTGGGGGGTAGCCCAAAAAAAGACAAACCCAACACAGGCTCCAAGAAACGCCAAACTGCTGCGGGTGACATGGGGCAAGGGCTGGCTGTTGGAAAGACTCCTCTTCGCAACCGTTTTCGATGGGGGGCAACAAGCGGAAGGCAATCAAGTTCCCTCCAATTGGTGGTTGAGCAACGGGCCATTGACTAGCTCTTCCAAGAACCCGGATCGTGAGGCCGTACAGGCCGTATTGCCGTTGTACCTTTGCGATTTGAGCATCAATTCTGGCGCTATGACGAGTGTCGAGTCGACTGGGGTCCTTCCCTTTTGGAGGCTGCTGACCGCTTGGAGCCCGCAAGTAACCAAGTAGCTCCAGAAAACAAACGGGATCTGAATCTTAATTGGGGACCCAAAATGGTGGAAATCAGAATTCGGTGGGGACTTGTTTCCACCAACCACTTTCCAGGGGTTTTTGCATTGAAGTTCATCGTCAATTGGTGGTTTGGAGCCCGGTGGTTTGGTGGTTGGCGGCTGTATCCCATTGCGGGAAGGAAAAGGCATTTTCAGAGTGCCCGGGGCTGATACGCAGTCCAAAATGAGCTTGGCAGCAGGATGTGGCTGCCCAGAATTTCATCAGCAAGAACGGAGCTCAACAAGTTTTAGGATGTGGCATGACTGGTCTGTCTAGCCTCTACAGTACCAAGAAGTGAAGTTGAAGAGGAAAGGCATGAGAAACCATGCATTCAAAAGCCTCCAGTTGAGTGTCCACGCCGCTAGGCAAGCAGTTGCGGCGGCCAATGAAGCAAGGCAAACGGACTAGATCATAAATGATGAAACCGAGGGCCAATGATGCGCGACATGCACTGAAACTCCAGAAGGTTCCGCAGGAATTCCATCCAAAAGCAGGCAGGAGCACGGCCAGAACCGTGGGAGGTTCTTCTGCTCAATGGTGTCCCAGAACTCCTTTTGCCAAACCATGATGAGCATTCCTCAGGATGTGGACAGCCCACCCAACTCAACCGCTTCACATGAAAGGCTGCTTGCCTCATATATATATATATATGTACACAGTGGTATTAAAATGAGTTGCGCATCACTTCCAGCAAGCATCCGTCCAATTCCAAGCACCCTCCTGTATGTGGAGCAGAGACAGTGCTTGCAATAGCAAGGCAGCTCAGGCTCAAGCCCAGGACAAGATTGATGGTGCCAATCCTGGGTCTGGTTGCAACTTGATTGAGTTCATAACGTCATGTTTCTAAGGCTCAGAGAAGCTTGCTCTGCCGATTCATCCATGTACTGAATTTCTGGTTGACAAATGGCTGTGGGTCAAAACCAATGGTACCATTCTGGGATAGGTGCACCACCCATTTTAGTCTATTTTAGTGCGGATTGGGATGTTCACTGGGGGTACGATTTGGGTTTTGAGCCATGGCCAAATTACTGGGGACTTCGGCGTAGCTGAACTGGGGCATTGAAAGACTGGGGCTGCTGCACGCTGATGGCTGAGACATATCCCCAGGCAGAGTTCTGCCGAAAGAAGGGCCTCAGCGTGGCAGCGCTTAAGCATTGCACAGTAAATCAACCGCATCCAGAGACCCATGTGTAGCCAACCGAGGTCAAACTTATGGCTCTCCTCGCAAGAACTGAAGAAACAAATCTTCACCTTATCCCTTTGTTTGGCCACAGCCGACACTCGCGGGCTCCAAAAGCAAAGCAACAAGCTAGATCTGGTTTTGCGCCATCTCCAAGACAAGATACCAGCAAAAGCCAACAATCAAGTTTGCCTCACACAGACACATGTGTTTGTTGTCTTCGTCCAGGAGCCAAGTTATTCCGCATGCTTGGGGCAAAATGGCAACACTTCGACTTCCTTTGTGCTTACGCCCCGTGGGACAAATATGTCCAGTAGATTCCTGATGAAACCAACCAGGGAAAAAGAAGATACTTGCTCCAGGAAGCCTAGTTGCTCTGAACCCTGCTGAATTGAACCCCAGCCCATCAGGAAGCGCTTTCCTCACCAACATCGCTGCCAAAAAAGGTCAGCTGGGCCACACGACTTGCACAAGGCTAAATCAGAAGAAGCTTAACACCAGTTTGGGGCTCATCGCTATTTTGACATCCATAACTCCAACCAAATAGTTTCTTTTTGGTTCCCTCCAAACCAACAAATGGCAAACGCACAAACACACGCGCCTGTGGATTCGACACAACCTACGACCTCTGGGGCAGGCGCTTCACCAAAGGCCAGACGCCCGCGAAGAGTGAAGAGATCTGCTGCTCGTGATGCTCAGCGCCACAGTCGGGCCTCTGCCATGGAAAAGAATACTGCGTGGAAATGATGGGACAACTGGCTGATGAAAGCAGACTTTGCCCCGTTTGTTTGCCTGGTTGATGTTAAAGCAGAAGCTTGAGCCAAAAACGTTTGGGCTGGGGTTCCCTGTCTGGCAAGTGTGGGGCTGTCGCCGGCCACTGACGGCAGCTTCAGGCTTTGGGCTGTCACAGCTGTTCTGGTCCGGCCGCTGGCGGGAGCAGCTCGGCCATGGCGGGAGACTGTGCGCTGGCGCGAGGCTCAGGCTTCGGACTGTCACGGCTGTCTGTCACTGGCTCCGTCGCAGCTGTCGGTCGACGAGTCTGTCGCAAGCTGTTGGCGGGCGGGTGGGTGGGCGTTGCGGCCGGATGGCACTTCAACATACTTCGGCGCCGGGCTGAAGCCTCAGGCTCCCGCCGCGGTGGTCGCACCAGGACAGCTGTCGCAAGCGGCACCCACACTTTCAGCAGCTACCCGCCCATGTAGTTGGAGCAGATTAATCCGCTCCCCCAATTAATGAATGACCCCAATTAATAATAAATGCAACTCCGGGGCCCGAGACCAGATTTCCACTCCGCACAATTGATTTTTAATTGCGCCAATACTAAACCAATACTAAAGTCTTGGAATCCTTATTAGGGGGCATTTTTAACAAGCTTCCAGCCCCACTTTTAAGCTGCGACTGTCTCTCCCCCATACATGCTGGCTAACCTGCCTGGCTGCCAACAAACAACCAGTAAACTGAAAAACAAATAGAATGACACATGAAATTTCCTTATTAAACCGCTTACTCGCGGACCTTACAATTCAATCCATTTCCTCCAAATCCTACGCGAACCCTCACATTGTTGGAAAAGCAAAAAAACCCAACCCCGAAAACCCCAATTAAAAAAAAATCTATTTTTGGGAGGATTTATTTATAATAGGGGGGGGGGGGGCCGTATTTATTAATAGGGGGAAGAGATTATGCACTCGCCTGTTCCTAGAAGCAAACAGTTGAGGCTGCTATGGGTTAGGTCAGCGCTGCCATTCTTCCTTTTTAGTTCGACTGAGTTTCTTCGCTATTGCTCAGTGGCCGGACCAGGACACCGGTGACAGACCAAAGAGCGAGGCTCCGAGCCAGGACAGCTCGTGACAGTCAGGAGTCAGAGTCTCCCGCCAGTGGCACGACAAAAAGCTGAGAATAAGGCATCGATCACAGCAACCAGAGCCGCAACTCATTTCTTTAGTATTGGTATTGGCGGCATTCGTGGGCGCCCACAAGCGCCATGCGCGTTCTCCCGCATGGGGTATCACATGGCAAAGCAGGATCGCCAACTGGGATTTACTGACAAGGACGCTGATTAAACAACAGCAAGACAAAGAAACAACATCAATAACGACGGATTATTAGTTGCTTTCTGCTCCCCTGCTAAAAGTTCAACTTTTAGTGGTTTAATGGAAAAACCAATTAGTTGGCAAAAAGTTAAAGTCCTAACATCCAAGCAAAATGCACCAAAGGATTGCTTTGTTTGGCTTGAGAGCCTGGAACATTTCTCACAAGCCAATCTCTGGGGAGCCGCGCTGTACGCTGAGATCTGTCTGCGCCTAGCCATGTCTTTGCTATGGCTAATCTCGAGATGCTTCAGAGTTGGTATCAGGCTGGCGCTTGACCAAAGAGCAGCCACAGTTGCAGCGCGGCAAGCTTCCAGACCTCTCGTATTTTCATGAGACAAACGATGTTTGCGGGGTCCAACACTTGATGATGATATCTCGCACTCATGGACACTAAGCGAGGCATTCAAAAACCGGAGCCACTGCCAGTGGACGGAGTCAAGCCCAAATCAGCACTCCCACGACTTCGGATAGCTTCTCTTACTCAAAAAGCCGGCCATTTGCGAATTTGCGAACGAGAAGTCCCCCATAAGGCTTTCATCATAGAGCCTATTTTACTCTCTGAGCTTACCCGGCAAAGCCAAGCACCGGGGATCAACCGGCCTCTGTGGCGTTCTGTAATGGAACTTTCGGCCGTGGATTTCTGAAGGGCTTTCTCTAAGGCGGATGTGCGGCTTCTCTCGAACCCTCGCGAGAGTTCCCCAGATGGCCACCTCTACTTGGTTCTATATGGGATTATATACCCAGCAAACCCCATTCAGGAGGTTTCACCTCCGATTTTCTGGATAAACTGTCGTCCCCGCGCTCGGCCCCCTTGAACACAGTTCATCAAAAGGTCCTGTACACAGGATGAACATTGAGGAGACCACTAAAAAAGTTGATCTTTCTCCCACCAAATGGCGGGAAAATTACTCATGGTCATTTTTGGGGGCCATGAATCTTGATCAACCCCGATATATAGTATCTATATATAGATACATGTTCAACGTTACCCAGCTGTGCCCTGCGCGTCCATCAACCCCCACCTGGAGTCTCCATGACCCTTCAACAAATAGGTCCATGACCCCAATATTAGTGAGGGTAATGACCCCATTATTTAGGGCAATGACCAACCATTTTTAAAGGGTCAGAAGGAGACTCTAGGTACCTGTCCGGCACGTGTCCGGCACGTGTCCGGCACGCGACCCGCGACCGGCCGAAATCGCGGCGGCGGCTCGAAGCGTCGGTGGAAGAGCTCGAAGAGCACCGCGAAGGCCAAGGCGAAGGCGGCGATGATCCACATGTAGGGCTCCAGCTGCTTCACGGACCTCGATGCGCGGGGTCTCAGCGCGCGAAAACGAAACAGTGCACCCTTCGCCCACGGGAAAATGAAGATTGCCACTGTTGATTTGAAAGGCCCTTCAGCTCTGGGGTGGAGTCAGCTTTCCGTTCAGGAACAACCGCGGGTCTCTTCTCGGGAGTCATTCTTCTCAAAACCCGAAGCCAATGGGAAACAGTGCCTGGCTGCTCCACGGACCTGACCCGCAGATTTTCTTTCGGGCATGGGTTCCAAAGCTGCTGGGCGGGACTCAAAGTTTCTCGAAACCCCAAATGGGAAGCAGTGTCCCCCCTTCGGCCATGGGGGAAAAAATGAAGACTGTCACTCCGCTTTTGGTTGATTTCAAGGGCAACCCCTCCAAAAAATGGAAAACTAGATAAGCTCAGGTGATATCCCCAACAGCATGCGGTGCTCTTCCAATCATAGCTTGACTGTGTGGAACCAGACCACCCCATAGCCCTCGCGGATCCTCGCGGAACCGTCATGGAACCTTGCGAAACCCGTCTCTGGAACCCTTGTAGAACCCGACCGTCTCAGCCCACTGCATCTTTGAGACATCAAAGCCCAAGGTCCCTGGCACGCCCACAAAAACCAAACGGGGCGCTTTGGCTCGTCGCTTTTTCGGAGCCCTAAGGGTTTCCCAGTCGATGGATTTTTGGGGCCTCAAAATGGATTGTGTCTTTTTTGGCCATGAGGAATCGGTGGGGGTTCTCCATTGGAGGGTCCGCTGCATTGGAGAACTCGTGACCCTTGGGGTGGTGCCCCTTTGTTGGGCCAGCTGTCAAAGGGAGCCAAAAGGACAATCCGGGGAACGCCCGACGCGGAATACCTAGAACTTCCTGCGGAGGAAATTTATGCCGCAACGCATTGCGGCGGAAATTCCCGCCGCATTCCAGAAAATCAGCCGCAAACCAAGAAAAACGCCGCAACCAAAACAAAAACGCCGCAACACCGTTTGCTTTCCGGGAATTTCCGCCGCATTTCCGCCGATTTCCGCCGCATTCCCGCCGATTTCCGCCGCAAATCGGGGGGTAGAAAAAACTGAAAACAAGCTCTGCGGCAATTCTAAAAAAACGCCGCAAATCAGGAAGAAATGCCGCAAAACCAAAAAGGCGCCTTTTTTGATTTGCGGCAGAAATTTCTGCCGCAACGAATCTCTAGGTATGGGTTGAGCAGGCTGGCGACTTCCGCGATTTCACTGCTGAAGTACCCCAGACTCGTGTCACACCATGACTCAGAGTAGTGGGCCTCTTCTGATGAAACCTGGCAAAACATAGAACATCAATGAATTCTGCTCAACTCATGTTCAAATCATTTGTGATAAATGATCATTTGAGGTAAGTGATCATTTGTGGTAAATGTCTGGAATGCCTATGATAGCTTTAATCACCATCCATGGCCAACATCATGTAATTCACCGAGCTTGACCTTGGCACCTACAATCAGACCATGGAAAGCCGACGCTGCAGTACACCTGGTTGTTTTTCGGCAGGCGTATGGGGGACCTTGCCAGCACCATACGACCATCTTGGATAGGTCTTCTCAGTTCGCCATGCTGACACAGCGGCCTTCTGACAACCTTCAACGAGTGCACATGCTAGTTTTTGGTCCAAACATACGGGCGGCTAACTGGAACAAAATCCACATGCACACGTGATACGTGAGGTCAAACACAACGTACATGTGATGCATCAGAACGTGTACAAGGTTGCGGGCGTTGGCCGAGAAACATACAGAGATCAAAACATTGATGACTAGCCACAAGAATAAAATTGAAAACAAAGCACCACTAGGCTATGAAAACAAGAAACATGCACAAACCCAGAACCCCCCCCCCCCCTCCAGCCTTCTTGACCTGACTGCACAGCCTGCGTCAGGATTTCTGTTGCCATCTGATCTATCACAAACCTCATCTTATCGTTCAAATGATTGACAAAATAGCGCCTCCCAAAACACGTTCAGCAAACTTGTTTGACAAGGCTTGATTCTCGCCTGTCCCACCCACACAATTCTCGTCCCGCCTTGCCACCAGTAGCCTACAGCGCTGTGTGAAAGCATTGCAACGCTTAGATATGCTCTTCCCTCAGCTGCCCGACAGCAAGCAGACCCTTACACACACCAAAAGAATGCGTGAGTTCCACTAGCATGCCTTCCCCTCATGGATATCTTGTTTCTCCCAATCTGAAGCACTTGCATTCTGGCTGTGCATGCTGACACATTGTGCAAAACATGGCCATGGGTCAAAAGCCCGTACACCCAGTGAACAACTAAAGTAGACTAAAATGGGTGGTGCACCTACCCCAAAATGGTACCATTGGTTTTGACCCACAGCCACATCAGTACAACCCCGTCTGCTCAGCCCCTTGCGTTGACAGGCGCTGCCTGCCGCGAGGTGTGAAAGTAAAGATGGGGTGGCATCACGCAAAGCACGCCGAACAAACATATTGTTGTTGAAAACAGTACACACATGCCATTCAAGCATTTGTTGATGGTAACAACACTTCTGTTCTAAGTTACAAGGTGAGGCTACTGAACACTGAAGATCCCGTTAATACTTGCAAATGCTTGCTAACTTCCGGCAATCATATCATACTGCAGCTTGACAGCGCTTGCAAGCAGTTGTGGAAAGCCTACTCTTTGGGTTAGAGAGAACACATCCAGTCATAACTTTAAGTTGCGGCTTACCATTGGCCAGGTTGTATCATGTGGTAGAATGGTTCTTGAAGTCTGTGGATTGTAGTGACATGTTTTGGAGGAGTGGGAAAGCTTGAGACTGTGATGCTGATCAAAAATCCTTGAAGTGAGTGATGGAATGGGTTTCTCTTCCAATCCGCTCTCTCACCTCTCTTCTCCAGGCGGTAAACATGTTCCAGAAGCCAAGAAGAGAAGAACACCAGGACAGAACCAACATGAGAATGGAGTGCGGTGGGTTTATTGAGCTTCGACTGTTCGCTAGCGACTCAGCAATTGATCGGGTGATTCAATGCCATTTCCCTTCCGACACTTGGCAATGGGCACTGAGAAAACTTCAGTGTCCCAAGCGCCAGCGCCATCTGGCCATGGGTCAAAACCCCGTACCCCCAGTGAACATCGCAATCCCCACTAAAATAGACATGGGTGGTGCAGCTATTCCAAAATGGTACCATTGGTTTTGAACCATGGCCATGTTTCCGGTGACACAAAGGATGCGGCCCTTGTCCGTTTTCACCCGGGCCTTGCCACCAGTTGCCTACAGCGCTGCAATGCACAAACTCAAACTGGCCTCACGACCATGCAATGCTTACTTATGACTGATATGTTTTGGGGAACCCTCTTGAGAGTTTAATTTGAATGGTTCCGTAATAGGGAGACAACTCCATAATGTCCAGCTCTTCGTAGTCAACCCCCTACACACACCAAACAATGCGTGTGTTCCACTAGCAGGACTACGCCTCATCGACATCTTGGTCCTGCCGTTCTGGTGGTCTCGCTTGAGCACTTGCGTTCTGGCTGTGCATGCTGATCTCCAGCTTTTCGTGCCAAGAAAAGCACCGCATTGCCCAAGACATCAGTACAACCCAACTGCTAAGCCCCCTGCGTTGACA